ACCTTAACCAAGAGGAGACAGGAAGATGTTCCCCAAAGCTTAGTCTGTTAGCTTTACTGGGACTGTCCCAGTACACAGGGTAGCTAGAGAGAGGCTGAACCCAGGATGAGAACATGATACCTGGCCTGGGCTGGATGCTGGCAAACCCACGTGGATATGGCTTTGGGGCAGCGATGGATACCTTGTGCACTGAGCACCTACTATGTGCCAAGTATGTGCCAGATGCTGTGGGTAACATATGTTATTGTTGTTCCTGCCGAAATCCATCTAGCACACAGTGAGCATGTGTCAGGGTATGTCACTGCCCTGCCCAGCACTCCCCAGTGGCTGCCACTATGCTTAGAATCAAGTTCAAACTCCTTGTTATGGTCTTCAGTAACCTCAGCCCCCCTCTTCCGTGTCATGTTATGTCCAGCTTTCCTCTCTCACTCCCACTCCGCGACACGAGCTTTCTTTCCGTTCTTGTTACTACTTCAGGGCCTTTGCCTGCACTGCATGCGTTTCCTCAGCTCTCTGCTCTGCTGCCTCCTCATCATTCAGGTCTCAGCCCAAGTGCTGCCTCCCCAGAGGAGACTTCTCCGAGCAGACGATCTAAGTTGTCCCATGTTCCCCCGACTGCGTCCTAAGTTCCGTTTACTCTACAGTACTCACCATTACTTTATTTGTCAACTTGTATTTATTCAAGACACATTTACTGAAGTGCTAAACTAGGCAGTGACAAAACAGACAATTATTCCCGCCTCCAGGAAGCCTACATGATGATACCACAAGGCAGATAGAAACGTGCCATGTTTCTGACTTCCCTTGCCAGAAATGTAGCCTTGAGAACCAGGGCCAAGCGACGCCCTCCCTTCGCTCTCCACGCCTGCTCTCTGGCTGTCCGCCTGCACCGCTGCCCGCCCCGCCACGTGACGGAACAGGCAATCTCCTTCGCCGAGTACTTCCTGGCCGGAGACATCGCCGCCGCCATCTCCAAGACGGCCGCAGCCCCGATTGAGCTGGTCAAGCTGCTGCTGCAGGTCCAGCGCTTGAGCAAGCAGATCGCCGCCGACAAGCAGTACAAGGGCATCGTGGACTGCATCGTGTGCATCCCCAAGGAGCAGGGCGTGCTGTCCTTCCGGAGGAGCAACCTGGCCAACGCCATCCGCTACTTCGCCATGCAAGCCCTCAACGTTGCCGTCAAGGGTAAGTACAAGCAGATCTTCCTGGGGGGCGTGGACAAACACACACAGTTCTACAGGTACTTTGCGGTCAACCTGGCCTCTGGCGGTGCAGCAGGTGCCACCTCCCTCTGCTTCGTGTACTCCCTGGATTTCTCCAGAACCCGCCTGGCAGCCGGCGTGGGAAAGTTAGGCAGGCAGCGTGAGTTCCGAGGCCTGGGACATGGCCTGGCTAAGGTCACCAAGTCCCACAGCGCCCGCGGCCTGTCCCAGGGCTCCAGCGTCTCCGTGCAGGGCATCATCATCTACCGATTCGCCTACTTTGGTGTGTACGATACTGCCAAGGGCATGCTCCCTGACCCCAAGAACACACACATCGTCGTGAGCTGGACGATTGCACAGAGAGTGATGGCCGCCGCTGGTGCGTGATGATGCAATCCGGGCGCAGAGCAGCTGACGCCAGGTACACGGGCACCGTCACTGCTGGAGGAAGACCTTCAGAGACGAGAGGGGCAAGGCCTTATTCAAAGGTGCATGGTCCAGCGTCCTCCGGGGTATGGGGGGCGCCTTCGAGCTGGTCCTGTAGGACGAGCTGAAGAAGGTCATCTAAGGGCCTCAGAGGCCTCCTCCACACGCACCAAGGGAACCAAGAATACCACGTAGAATCCTCAGCTGTGCGGACCATCGACCTTTGAGAGATTCCAGTTGTCTTTTTCCCAGCCGGATCCTGCCTGTCGACAGCCAGGGAAGGCTCTGAAAAGGGGTGCGTTGTGATCCACGTCTTGATCACTGCGGGGGGGGGGAGGGGAACCATGGCGTCCTTGCTGCAAGCGGGTGAGACACTCCAATACTCAGACCCAGAGTCCAGATGTTTGTAGGGCTCAAGTCGTGTTTAAGTATTTATTTAAAACAGGAGCACCATGTCTCCCATTTGTACTTAAGCACTAGCCCCTCTTTTGCACAGCTGAGTACTTGCAGTTATATTCCGTGGGCATCCTGATGCGACACAATAAACAAAAAATGCAGGGCGTGGTGGGGGGGCGCGGAGAACCAGGACCTTGTTTGTCTTGTTCAGAGACTATTTTGGGAAGTGGCGATCACAGAGCTCAAGGAATTGCAGTTAAATGAAGAACTGAGCCCACATCTTACAAACAATTGCATTGAGGCATAGGCAGGAAGTGGCTTTCAAGATGGCCCCGCCAGTAAAACAGCAGAGCCAGGATCTGAACCATGCTCTGTTTGATGCGGAGGCTGGACATCCATGACGCCTGCCCAGCCCAGGCATCTTGCCCTGTGCTTTCCGCACTGCTTCCTTCTCCTCAGCCCAATATTTGGGTCCTCCCGCACTCCCCATGCCCCACCTGGCTTAACCCTGGGCTGTTCTCTAGCATCCCGTTTTCAGTAGGGCTACTTGCTCTCTGCAACATGTTGGTTAATATCCTTTGACTCTCTCAGCCCGTTTCCTCATCAAAATGAGAATCTGAGCCACAGTATATCTGCTAAGGCATGTACAACTCTATTATCCTGCCTTCTGACTAACCCATCGGTAAACTGCGTTCAATAAGAGGTGATAAATAAGTGGTTAAAAATTTATTTTGATTTCTGCAGTCCCAGCTGAATAGCAATGATCCATGTAGTCTCAGCTGCTACCTTTTCTCAGACCAGCATTCCTAGCTCTCCGCTCTGCTCACTGTATTGATCCAGGGCTAGAAGTCCCCTTCAGCTGGCTTCTGCAAAGAAGGGTGTTTATTAGCTTGTGTCACACATAGCCCAGGAATGAGCTGGCCACAGGCATGCCTGGATCTAGGAGCTCCAACTGTGTCATCAGCTCTTGGGGCTCACCCTCTTTGCCTCTCTATCTGGCTCTCCTCTCTCACAGTTTCATTCTAAAGCAGGCTTGCTTCCCACATGGTAGCCAGGTGGCTGCCGGCAGCTCCAAGAACACATCCTATCCTTTGAGTATCTCCGGTGAAGCAAAATCTCTTCCCAGCAGCCCCAAAGAGTCATGGGACCAAGGCTCTTTGGCTCAGTGGGAATGATGTGCCCATCCTTAAAACCCATGGAATTAACCCTAATGGTCAAGGTTGGGGTCCACCCCACACAAACCAAATGAGCTGAGAATGGAAGGGAGGCAGATCTCCAGTGGGTTAGGATTCTGGGGTCCAAAAAGAAAGGGGAATGGAGGCTGGACAGAGTCCAGTGTCCCCTGCTGCTGCCACTAGGCGCACCTTTTCCCGTTGGAAATGACTACTTTTGCACGTTCTTCAAGGCCTAGCTCAAATATCATCTCCTCCCCGATCCACAGAGCAGGAGCTAAAGCCCTCAGCCCCTAAACTCTTTTTGAGCCCTTTCCACTTTCTTTTTGGTATTTTAGCTTTTAATGTGCATGAGCAGAGAGAGTCAAAAGAGTCTGCCTTTGGGGTCAGAAAAGTTTGGGTTCAAATCTCATCTACACTCTTCAAAAGTCAGGTGACCAAGGACAGCATATGGCTCCTTTCTAATCAGTTCTCCCTCCTGCACCTGCTCTGAGCATTAAATGAGATGAAATGAGCCCAGCCAGGGCATAGGGGGAATTCTGATTTCTTTCATGCCAGGACCCATGTTTTGGTCCTCTCTGTCTTCAGCCCCACACACAGGTACTAAGAACAGCAGATGTGTTGAACGAACAAACTCCTGGATTCCAGAACTTTGGGCATGCAGTGGAGTTTCCCCTTTCACAGCGCTCAGATTCTAAAGTGAGCACAGAGTTAAAGATGCTTGAAAAACCCTTAAAATGTGGATTCAATACAGTGCACAAGGTGTGTGACGTTACCCAGTATAGCGATTCCTGCACCAATTGAGAGTTTGAGTACCATCGAGCTGGCCGAGGGCAGAAAGAGAAACGTCTGCATGCAGGTAGTCATTCACATGATTCTGCTTTCAAACTAACTATTGGGAGGGGTAGGGCAGTGAGAGGGAAGAAGGACATGAGAAGAGGGTGAATTCTAAATTTGACATTGCCTGCAAGGTTCATTCCACATTCCATTCTGCTCTTTTTTTTCAGACTGAGTTTCACTCTTGTCACCCAGGCTGGAGTGCAGTGGCATGATCTCGGCTCACTGCAACCTCCGCCTCCCAGGTTCAAGCGATTCTCCTGCCTCAGCCTCCCTAGTAGCTGGGATTATAGATGCGTGCCTCCACGCCTGGCTAATTGTGTGTTTTTAGTAGAGATGGGGTTTCACCATATTGGTCAGGCTGGTCTTGAACCCCTGACCTCAAGTGAGCCACCCTCCTCGGCCTCCCAAAGTGCTGGGATTACAGGTATAAGCCACTGCTCCTGGCCCATTCTGCTTTACTATGTAGCCTTTGTCATACCTTTAAAATGTTTCAGGAGGCTCGTTTGTTGCGGGGAGAACTGTGGTTTATATACAGAAATAAACTGAAAAGCATGTGTAGCAGGACATGGGGCTCAGTGAACATGGTGGGATTTGAACCCAAGTCTTGCTGACATATGCATGATCCTTGGAAAGCTGTAGAAAACTTCTAGGCCTCTGGGGCCTCACCAAACTGGACCCCATCCTCATGCCCTGAGACAGCAGTCACTGAGACTTAGGTTCTAAAGCTGCAAGTGAAATTCAACGGGTCCTTTTATACAACATGGTTCCTTTTTTTCAAGAATTTCAGTTTTTAGTTTGGATTTGGGGGGACACGTGCAGGTTTCTTACCTGGGTATATTGCATAATGATGAGGTTTGGGGTAAGACAAATCCCATCACCCAGGTTCTGAGCACAGTACCCCATAAGTGGGTTTTCAATGCTTAACCCCTTCTGCCTACATCTAGTAGCCCCCAGTGGCTGGAGAGCAGAATTCAGGAAAGCAAAGTTGATCTTGGCTCCGTTTCTGTAAATCTTGGTAGGCATAATTTCATTCTCAAGACAAGTAGAAAACCTTGACTACCTTCCCCATCTTGACCCCACCTCCCAAACCCCATCCAGCCGTGTCTAGAACTTGTAAAGCACGTAGCCTTACTTTTCCAGGAACAAGGTTTATTGTTGTGCTTCTGCAGAGTCCTCCGTGTGATTTCTGGGACAGCCCTGTCAACCCTCTGGGTGTGATCTCAGCCAGAATGTGTCACGATGGCAGACATGGGATGAAAAGAACTGGGAAGAAAGGAACTGGGATGTCCAAATGGTCCTAGACTCCACAGGTGCCTTCAGAGGCAAAGCGGCTTCCTGCTGAAGCCCAGGCCCATCTCACCAGCATTTGGACAGAACTGTCACTACTACGGAGGTCCCAGTTTTGGTGACTGTGGGTTCCAAAACGTTACTTTCCTTAGGCGAAGTCAGGCTGAGTTGGCACTGGCTCTTCGAGGAGCACCCAAACCCCACGCTTCCCATGCTGACCCATGGAGTAGTAAGAGCCAGGGTCCCGGGCCACCTGCCTGGGATCTGCCCTGGTTGTGCCACAAGGTTGGGAATTGGGGCAGGCTTTTAGCTATCAGATCCCTCCACAGCTGGAGTTCACAAAAACTTCACTGCGTCACTCAGTGTCAGCCTTTGGCTTCTTGAGCATCATCTCGTCTGCCACCAACTTGCTGATCACTCAGTCTCTTCCTATTTAAATCCAAAGGGACAGAGCCTGATCAGCTCCACAACTTGAAACTCCTGGGCAGGGCTTTTTCTTCCAGCCTCTTCATAGGTTACCAACCAGTCAGTGGATGGGCTGCTCTTGAGTTCAGGGGACGCTCTTTTGCCCAGTCAGGGGCCATTTCTTGTTCAAGCCCAGCCTAAAGCCATTTTCCTCCCCCGGGCCTCCTGATAGGGTGGTTTCCCTTAGGAGGGCACTCAGGTGTGGCTGACACCATCACTCACAAATCAGAACCCAAACTTCACCAGGAGGCTCTGCTTCTCCCCATCCACCCCAGCTCCTTGCTAAGCTTTGACAAGCTCGGCAGAACTGAGTGAGATCCAAGGGACAAATGCACCCGTGCTTCCTGGCTCCTGGACGTGAGAAGGCTCAGCAGGAAGGCTGGGATTCACAGAGAAACATCATCAGTTGTGCACCGTGTCTGCAAACACTAACCATTACTGCAGTCTCTGCTGGAGTCTGACTTATCTCTTTTGATTTTTAATTTTAATGTTTTAATTTTTTGTAGAGAAAGGGGTCTCGCTGTGTTGCCCAAGCCGACCTTGAACTCCTGGCCACAAGCATCCTCCTGCCTTGGCCTCCCAGAATGCTGGGATTACAGGCACGAGCCACCGCGGCCGGCCCATGACTTATCTTTAAATCCCAGTAGGTAGCCCTACGCCTGGCACTTAGCTGGCCCTCAGGATACTTTTTTTGGAGTAGCCATAGATAAGTAGGGATGCCCCAGGGAGATTGGGATGAGCAATACTGAGAAGTTTCAGGCACAGTTCTGCGGCCAGAGTGCTTGGTCTCTTTCCACCATCACCTGGTTTCCCTGGACCAGTTTTACATCTCATTAATAGCTTATATTTCATTTTCTTTGTAGTTCTCTTGCAGTGTTTCCCAATGTGCATCCTATGGGACAATAGTTCAGTGGAATATTAATTATTATAGTGCAAAGGGATTCTGAGATCAAGTGAGTTTGGGAAATACCAAGTTAAAGAAAAGGAATCCGGTTTATTTGCTGAGGGACTTATCAGAGCCTTTACTGTGTTAATGTATGTTGTTGCCATCCACAAAGGTAATGGAGGCTTTTGTGTTTCCCACACTTTTTTGACCTTGATCATTATTTTTCCCCCATGAGTATCTCACAGGACTAGTGTTCTGAGGAGCGGTACACTGAGAAATGGCACTCTAGATGGAAAGGAAATGCTGTCTTTCCCCTTTATTGGATATGTGGGATTCGCAGAATTTGCTTATTTGTCTGATCCATGATTGCTGGATATGGGAGGACAGGCATGTGTTAGACTGTCCATCTTCAGAGAGGTTTCCTGCTCTTCCAGGTGTCCACTAGTTATGGCTATGGTCGCTATGGTGGCAGCAGGGAGGCCGCAGACCCCAGAGGGGATTAGGCATATCTGTGTATAAACTTTGGGCAATTTCTCCCTTTCACTTGGGCTTGAGTCACAGCATTGCGTACCCTAAGAAAACAGCATGAGATATATAAAGTTCCCTTCCTCCCACAAAACAGCCTGGTTTTCGTCTCGATATGGACGGGCTAGTAGGAGTAGAACATGGGATGATGTATCGTTTCTCCTGGGTTTCTCAACCTCAGCACGACTGACATTTGGATAGGATCACGGTTTGTGGGGCCTGTGCCTTGGAGGATGTTTGCGGCATCTCTACCCACTGGATGTCAGTAGAAGGTATCATTCCTCCTGCCTCCCCATTGTGAAAACCCAAGATGTCTGCAAACATTGCCAAGTGTCCTCTAGGAGACAAAAATCCCTCTCCCATTGAGAACCACTGCTTTAAGAGAAGATTGTGCAGCTGGGCGTGGTGGCTCATGCCTGTAGTCCCAGCTCTTTGGGAGGCTGAGGTGGGTGGATCACGAGGTCAAGAGATCGAGACCATCCAGGTCAACATGGTGAAACCCCATCTCTACTAAAGATACAAAAAATTAGCTGGGCATGGTGGCGCGCGCCTGTAATCCCAGCTACTCAGGAGGCTGAGGCAGCAGAACTGCCTAAACCCAGGAGGTGGAGATTGCGGTGAGCTGAGATCGCACCACTCCACTCCAGCCTGGGTAACAAAAGCGAAACTCTGTCTCAAAAAAAAAAAGGAGAAGATTGTGCAAAGTCTGTGGAAGGCTGTTGGAATACTCTTGGAAGCATTTTATCATACTCTTGGAAGAAGGAAAATAGTGCTATCATGCTCAAAGCATGGTCTGAGAGCCTGTAAGACATGCCAACTAATTAAACTCTCCCTTGGGGCGTTTTCTTAACTCATCCTTAAAGCTCATGTATCTGTTGAGTTTCTTGGTTGCAAGTTACAGAAAACCCAACCCAAAATAGTCTAAGCCAGAAAATGAATTTTTTGGCTCTAGTAACTGAAGAGTCCAACATAGGGCTAACTTCAGGTACAGCTGGATCCAGGTGCTTAAACAGTGTTATCAAAAATCAATAATTTTTCCAAATCTTTGCTCTGATTCCCCACTATTGATTTCATTCTCAGACAGGCTCTTCCCATGTGGCAGTGAGAAAGCTGCCAGCAGCTCCGGCCTACTCCTCACTAGAACAGATCTGGTGGAAAGGGAAAGCTTCTCTTCACTCACGGTTTAATGCAAGTCCTGGATCTGATTCCCATTGGCCCAGGATACTATGCTATTCTCATTAGCTATGCCGGCTTCACATGCCTGTCCCCGAAGCCTGGGGAGGAGCCAACACCAACGGAACCATTCAGTAGGGAACAGGGGAGGAATGGTTCTTTAGAGGCAAACAGGGGCAGTTACTTGAAGAAAGGTTAGTAGATGCTGGTCAGGGAAGCACCTCTATTTCCTCATTAATAAAAATAACTAAAGAGCAGCCAATGGCAGCTCCCACTTGTGGAACATGAACTCTACCTGCACTGCGTTATTCCTAATCACCACCAACATCCTGAGAGGCAGCTATTGTCAACCTATTTTACAGATGGGTAAGTAGAGTCTCAGAGTTAGGTGAAATGACTTGGTTGAAGTCACAAAGCGGGGCAGTGGCTGAGCCACAGACCAGAGGCATCCTTTTCCCTCTTCTAGGACACCCTCTGTAACCAACTTTCTTCCTGCAGCAATCTGAAAGGAGTCACAAGGTCTCCTGTTGCTATTTTGGCAAGAAGTGGGCAGATATTGGAGGGCTGCGCTCCAGGCTACTGCCCAATCTTTTCTTGTCAATTTCATGCCAGTTTGTGACAATCATCCCTGAAGGACCCTATTGATAAAACAAGAAAGGGAGTGCGTGGCTGGCATTTTCTGGCTTGGCTTTGTTTTGTCTGCTTGGTCTGTTTTCCTAGCCTCCTTTTTTGCCCATTGCCGTTGTTTTATCTTCCATTCCCCCGGGGGGCCTTCAGAGGGTGCATTATTAATAAAGCTAACGTTGGCCAGGAGTGGTGGCTTATGCCTGTAATCCCAGCACTTTGAGAGGTCGAGGTGGGAGGATCATGAGGTCAGGAGTTTGAGACCATCCTGGCCAACATAGTGAAACCCCGTCTCTACTAAAAAAACAAAAACAAACCAAAAAAAATCCCACAAAAATTAGCTGGGTGTGGTGGTGCACTCCTGTAATCCCAGCTACTTGAGAGACTGAAGAAGCAGAAGGGGGCCGGGCGTGGTGGCTCAAGCCTGTAATCCCAGCACTTTGGGAGGCCGAGGCGGGTGGATCACAAGGTCAAGAGATTGAGACCATCCAGGTCAACATGGTGAAACCCCATCTCTACTAAAAATACAAAAAATTAGCTGGGCATGGTGGCACGTGCCTGTAATCCCAGCTACTTGGGAAGCTGAGGCAGGAGAATAGCCTGAGCCCAGGAGGCGGAGGTTGCGGTGAGCCGAGATTGCGCCATTGCACTCCAGCCTGGGTAACAAGAGCGAAACTCCGTCTCAAAAAAAAAAAAAAAAAAGAAGCAGAAGGATCGCTTGAACCTGGGAGGTGGAGGTTGCAGTGAGCCAAGATTGTGCCACTGCACTCCAGCCTGGGTGACAGAGCAAGACTCCGTCTCGAAAAACAAAAAAAAAAGCTAAATTTCCAGAAGGCTTACCATGTGCTGGACATTGTGTTAACAAATTTCCATGACATGATTTCATGAAGTTTTCTCAACTATCATATCAAGTAGACACTACTATTATCCCCATTTTGCAGATGCAGCAACTGAGACCTGGAGAGGCTGAAGGACTTGCCCCAGGTTACCCAGCCAGCAGACAGGAGAATTTGTGTTTGAATCCAGGCAGGACTTACTGCCTTTAGTGTGGCATCAAAACTTGACGAAGTTGCAAACCAGTGGCCTGTGAGTCAAATCTGGCTAACAGATATATTTTGTTTGGCCCACAAAGTATTTCAAAAACCATTTGAACTCATTGCCAATGTTTAAAAATTGAGAACCTGCACATTAAAAAACAAAATTTGTTCTTTTCTGCTTCTCTTGAAAAAAAAAAAAAGGACTGGCACCACTGGGCCTACATTCCTGCCTGGCAGAGACTGGCTGGAGCTGCAGCTCAGTCCTACATGCCTGCTTCGGTTGGGGTGTGTTCCTCCAGCTCGACGCAGTCCCCACCACTCCCTAAAGCCTTCCCAAGGCGGAGGCCAGTGTCATTTGCTGTGGCTCACTGTTCGTGCTCTGCTGGGTCCCATGTACCCTCCTGGCTTACCTGCCTGGCTGTGGAGGGCATGTGGGCTTGCTGTTCCTCCCCCACGTGCAGGGGATCCCGCCAGCTTCTGACCACAGTGGTTTGGGATTGCTGTAATCTCGCCACAAATTCAGTGGAAAGGTCTCCTGCTGGTGAAGCTCTCTTAGGGACTGGAAGAGTTGGACAGGACCCCAAATTTTCCTTTCCTCCGATACCCCAATCCCACCCCTTCCCAAACTGTGGTTTATTGGTCAGCCAAGGCCACTTTCTTGGTACTGTTTGTCTTGGGTACATGACCGCTTTTTCTTGCTCCCCACAGAGCCCCCTAACGTTTTCTTCCTAATCCTCCTCAGGAGAACCATCACCTGGATTATCATGAAACCCGAGTGCATGCGGCGTGAGGTACGACCCTTTACAACTGGCAGACCATCTCGTTTCTGCCCAGTTCTGTTTGTTTAAACCCTTTGCTGGCAGGACTCCAGCTCAGGGGCAGAGTTCCATGGCGTTCACAGGCAGATGTTCTGGCCTGTTGCAAGGAGCAACGTTAATAGCCAGGACAGGAGAGCTGGTGGCTGGAATCCAGGGCGAGGGGGTGGAGGGCACCTCACGGGCGCGTTTAGGGAGGAGAGGGATTGGGATGAAAACAACGGCTCACAGTACTTTTGCAAATGGAGTTTACAGGCCCCATTTAACGCATGAGAACACCGAGGCTTAGAGAGATGGGGTTACTTGTACAAGGTTACAAAGGTAGTTAGAGAAGGGAAAATAGATGAAATATTTTATAGTTCAGGGCATAAGACTCTGCCAATTTCAGGCATGTAGATGATGATGGTGGTGGTGGTGGTGATAATGATGACGATAGGAACTGAAAGGCACAGTGAAGGCCTTAAAGATCTTCTGGATGTGGTCATTGTAACCTGTCAAGGCACGACCTGGCTTCTTTTACAGCATGACTTTTCCTCTAGAATGACAGAATGGCCAAGAGTGGGGACGTTGACACTGCACAGACCTGGGGCTGACCCAGCCCTGCTGCTGAGTGGCTGAGTGGCCCCTGTGAGTTCTGTAACTTCCATGAGCCTCAGTGTCCTCATTTGCAAAATGGGAGGAAAGAGTAGATCATAGGAATTTTGTGAGGAATGAATGAAAGACTGCATATAAAGCGCAGAGCCTGCATCTGGCATGCGAGACTTGTTGAAAGAATGTTAACTTGTCCCGTTTTACTGTGAAGTGGCAACACGAGGTTCTGCACACAGCCAGGGTTCACTGAACACGGCTAAGCCCAGAGTCCTCATTTGGAGGCAGTGGCGAGAACCCAGGCTCAAGCAGCAGCGCTTCAACTTTCTAAGCAGCTGGAGGGAACATCACACCCCCTGGAAGTGGGTAAAGTCGGTGCAGGGGATGATACTTCCCGTGTAGGTCTGTTGAGGGATGAGATGCTGTCTGTAAAGTGCTCAGCGCATAGTAGGTGCACAACCAAGTTATTGTTCGTGTGGAGAACTTGTCTCATGCCCAGACTGGGCTTACCCCAGATGAGTCAGGGTCAAGTGCACATCCTTTTCTTCGAGGAAATCAAGGTGAACCGGGTGAATGGCTTGGCACCTTCTCACATGCAGACCTGCTGGGAGTGGGAGGTGGACCTGCAGGGTTCTGCATAATCCGGAGCTCATTTCATGGACAGAAAAGAAACAAAAAACCAGGCACCCTCTCCTGAGGGCCTGCTATGTCCAGATGCTTCGCTGAAATTGAGAGTATTTATTTCTCAGTCACAAACTCAGGTGTGAGAAAATGGAACTCTGTGTCCAGAACACAGTTAACTCTGGTTTCCAGATCCCTCCACGAGCCTTACCGCAGGCTGCTTAACCCAGTCCTCTTCTGGCCGGAACTGAGGGATTTAAGCTCTGATTTGGGTTTATAATTCAGGTTTCCTCCCAGACTCCTCCTCCGGCTCTGGGTCGTGCTGGAGGTGGGATGTGGGGGCTGGGGGGCTCTCCTCTGGCTCAGCCCCTTCTCTCCAGCTTGGCTCCCAGGGCCTGATGACTGTTGTACCAAACCGTGGCCTTGACCTCTATCTGGTGCTGGCCCTGGAGCCCTGTGAGATGTCAGCCTGGATGTAGTGGAAGACCTGTGGGAGCCCGGCTCAGGAAATGCAGATGCCTTGAGGCCTTCCACAGGTTTTCTCAGGTGCGGACACCCAGCGCTGCCATCTGCTGTCCCAGGGTGCGAACACCTGCATCCCCGTATTCCAGGAGTGCCGTTGCCTGTGCACTCGCAGCAGGTCTCATCTCATCCTGGCAGCAGCTTGTAGGGTTGGGAGCAGCTGTGAGCCGTTTGTGCAGGAGTGCTCGGGGTGATGGTTAGGTGCTTCGTCATTCAGCCTGGGCGGAATGATCCTAAAGCTTGCCCTCCTTCTCCTAGGTAGCACTGCTTCGAACCTAGTCCTAGCAAGACTCCTAGGAGTCTTCTGATCATGGGATAACCTATCTGTATCACGGCTCACAAACTGCTTTTAGACCCTCTCTGCTGCAGTGGAGGAAACAGGGCCCCAGAGAGGGGAAGACTTACCCAAGTCACACAGCTAAGAGGCAAAATCAGGATTCAGACTCCTGATTCAACCTCCCAGCGCTCACTCCACTGTGCCTTGTTGGCCCGGCCCTAGAAGGCCTCCTGGCTGGAGGTCATTGCCTGAGCCTGGGGATGACACACTGTCCACTGGATGTCATGATTTCTCTATTGAAGCTAGCTAGACCTTTTGGCAGTGACACAGGATTTTTCCCTTTCCTTGGGCAAGGCAGTCTCATACGGGACACTCAGATGTTGGATCCCCCTCCTTTTGGCTCAAAGACAGGAGGTAAGACCTGTATCCTGTTTTCCTAGGGTGGAGAAGGTCTGCACAAAGGAGGATCCCCTCTTTCCTGGGGACCTGGGACCACCACAGCCTTCTCCACTCCATGGCCCCCTCCACAGCCTCTGCCCACATCCCCTTTCCTGGGCTCCAAGTTGTAGCTCGTTAGTTAACTCTTCATTCCCGAAGTCTCTAAGAAAAAAATGTCCTCCCCACGCAGTTTCTCCACCTGGGAAACAGGTGGCCTTCTCTCTCTCTCTCTCTCTCTACGGGCGTCAAGTCAGGACAGAATGCACTGAAAGCAAAGCCCTGCCTGGCTCTGGGCTGCCCGCTGTGTGCTGAGGATCTGGGGGCAAACCAGCCATGCTCCCAGCTGAGCGGGAGGTCCTCACAAGCCTGCACAGTTTGACCTTGCTGAGGTGAGGGCTCTGCATTGACATGACAGAGAAAGATGGCACAGGCATTTCTGGGGGAGTCCCAGGGCCGGCATTGGAGGCCTGTCGAAGTGCTGAGGCTTCAATGACAGCGCATGTGCAGCTGGAGCAGGAAGTGAAAGGCAGGGATGGGGCTCCTTAAAGAAGGGGCTTGGGGCACCGCCATCCATCATCCACACCACTTCCAGCATTGCCTCTCCCCCAGGCCCCACCCCACCACCCTGAGGCAGTGGGGAGAGGACAGGGCTCGGCACAAGACAGCCTGGCCTCTTGTTCTTTGATTCTACCATCAGCAAATGACCTTGGGAAAGTCAATTGACCTCTCTCAGCTTTCGTTTTCTCATGTGCAAAGTTAGAATAACACTTAGGCAGTGCAATCATAGATACTGAAAGTACTTTGGAACAAGCAAAAAAAAAAAAAAAAAAAGACCAATTTGGTGTTTGTCAATTAAATGTTTTGATAACATTTATCAAGATAATCTCCATTAAATATTCTAAGAGTGGGCTGGATGTGGTGGCTGAGGTGGGCGGATCACCTGAGGTCAGGAGTTCGAGACCAGCCTGGCCAACATGGTGAAACCCCATCTCTACTAACAATACAAAAATGAGCCGGCCATGGTGGCGGGCACCTGTAGTCCCAGCTACGTGGGAGGCTGAGGCAGGAGAATCACTTGAACCCAGAGGGTAGAGGTTGCAGTGAGCCAAGATCGCACCACTGCATTCCAGCCTGGGTGACAGATGAAGACTCCATCCTCCCACCCCCGCAAAATACATATATTCTAAGAATGAAGCTCAAAAAGGAATGGGGAAAGGATACAAATTAACCAATGGGGTACATTTGGCAATAACTACTGAGTCCTCATTTTATAGGTGGGAAGTAAAGAGCTTTATTCTTTCGTTCAACAAAATTTTATCTGGGCAATGGCTCATGCCTGTAATTCCAGTGCTTTGAGAGGCTGAGGTGGGAGGATTGTTTGAAGCCACGAGAATCTTGTCTCAAAAAAAAAATAAATAAAAATAAAAAAGGCCGGAGTGGTGGTGTGTCCCTGTAGTCTCAGCCACTCAGGAGGCTGAGGCGAAAGGATGACTTAAGCCCAGGAATTTGAGGTTACAGTGAGATGTGATTGTGCCACACACTCCGGCCTCGATTCGAAGTTAACATCAAACTCTCTCTTTCTCCTCATTCTGCCATCCTCAATGTATTTCCTTGAAGAGTCCAGGCATATTCCCTCACAGTCAAGAGGCCACTGCTTGGAGTATCGTGTCTTTGTACATGGTCTTTGCATCATGTCAAGGCAGAAAGTAGGGGCTCCCCATTTACTAAGAAGAACAAAACTTTCCCAGAAGCCAGACATGTCTTTGACCAGAACTGGATCACATGACCATCTCTAGCTATAAGGAACGGGAAGGGAGCAGCCAATGAAGGGGAATGGGAGTGCCCTAGCTTCTCAGATCAAGCATGCGTCCCCTAGGGCTGGGCGCACCTGCTAAGGCTTGGGGTTCTGTTAGCAAGAGGAAATGGGAGGCTGGCTGCTGGGGACAGGAGGGGACCTAGGCAACTCCCGGCGCCCATCTCCTCTCCAGATGGTTACATTCCAGAAGTAAGGGAGGAAGTCCAATCCAGCACTTGCGGTAACACTGCGGTCATGGTTGTTCCTGGTGGGAGGATGGATGTGGTGAACTGAGTAGTGGGGGTGTGGGGCTGAAGGGAGAGGGAGAGAATTGGAAACCTTGGGTAGTAGGGACTGTGTCATGCATTCTCTGGGGCCCCACGTCCCACATGAGGCCACACGCAGCATGAGGGTTCAACAGGTGTCGGATGCTTAAATAAACAAATGAACTGGGGGTGGGGGAACAGGGGCAGGACTCATCTGCTCTGTCACCTGGTGTTCTTATCCCCACAGGCCCCTGATACACTTTTCCAGGAAAAGTGTTGTCTCTACCGAGGTTGGAACGTGCTTTCTGCCGTTGGAAAATGAAAACTCTGCAACCCCATGTGTTTCTCTTTCTTCCTTAGCTGCCGGAAACCAGAGCCAACTGTGTGGCCCAAGTGTGGGGAGCTGTGCTCCCTGGTTTCTGAAGCACCACCTTTGCTTCCTTTGGGGAGCACTGTTCAGATTCACCTGCCTTGCACAGAACCTCTGGGCACCCCCATGCCTAGCCCAGCGCCAGGGCCAAATCTCAAAGAAACTCAAGTGCTTGACAAGCCCAGAGTCATCCGACCTGAGAAAGGTGTCTTATCAAAGTCCACACTCTCCGATCTTAGAGGAGACAAAATAGGAGAGCAATGGCTTCCGTCAAGGCTGAAAGCAAACATTTTGGCTATCTTAACGACCACTGAATCACCGAGTCCACCGTATTTTTCCACTTTCAAGTTGTTTCTGGGCTGCTGTGGAGACACGCCCTTCCTGGGTTTAACAGCCCTTGTGTCAGGCAGTGGAGAGGAGGCGTGTTTACTTTTTGCAGGGAAAATAGTGGTTAATGGTGGGATGGATGGACCTGATTAGTAATTGGGTGATTTACCCCATGGATGTTCTTTGGGTTTGCCTGGTGGTTCGCACTTGAATTTTGGCTGAATGAAGTAGGAGGAAAATGGTTTTGAGGAGAAAGGGGTGGGTTTGGCTCATGGTTGAGGGCTGTTTCAGGGACAGGTGGAGGTTTGTGCAGATCGAGGGAGAAGGCTGTTCCACCTGTTGTTCAAGACTCTTCCTGTGTTCATTCAGTCACTCGCGTAATCGCTCACTCACTCATTCGCTCATTCATAGTTGTGAAGTTCCAAGCAGCTTCTCTGTGCTGGGGATACAGCACACCTCACAACTGCTAAGCACCGTGGAGCCAACGCGATGGATATGCTGTCTCCGCTACAGACTGCATCTTGTGTCCCCTGCCGAATTCCTCTGTTGAAATCTAATTCCCAAAGTGATGGTATTTGGAGGTGGGGTGTTTGGGAGGTGAGTAGGTCTTGAAGGTGGATCCCTTGCAAACTGGATTAGTGCCCTTAAAAGATAGACTGAAAAGAGCTCCCTGGCTCTCTTTCCACCACGTGAGGACACAGGAGGAGTCAGCCCTAACTCAGAAGAGGGCCCTCACCAGAACCTCATCATGCTGGCACCTGGATTTCAGATTTCCAGCCTCCAGAACTGTGAGAAATCCATTTCTATTATTTATAAGTCACCTGGTTTCTGATATTTTGTTACAGCAGCCTGAGCTGGCGAAGACACCCTCCTTCAGAGGAGCGTGCAGACTTGATAAGGGAAACAGATGGGCCAACAGATAATTCCCAGCGGAGGTGTGTTCAAACATGAGGTAATTACAGCTAACGCTTACTAGGCATTTTCCACAAACTAGACGCGGTTCTAAGTGCTTTTCACATATTAATCACTTGTGTCTCTCAACAGCCCTGGGGGCTTGGTACTAAGCAAATGGAGGAACAGAGATGTAAGTAACTTACCCAAGGTCACACAGCCAGCAGATCTGCACCAAAGCAGTGTGTCCAGGTTTTATCATCATGATATCCAGTTCTACTTTGGAAATGAGGTGGGTCTGCCTTAAAAGGGAAGGGTTCCCAGAGAGAGTGATGTTGAATATGGGCTTTGAGGGGGAAGTAGAGAAGTTTTCGAGGTAAAGGAGGGCACAGCAAGATGCCCCCAGAGCTGAGAGTGCCTGTCATGTGTAAAGAGTGGCAAGGGGTGGAGGCTTCCTGAGAGGAGAAGTGGAGGAGAGGTCAGCATGGCCAGACCCTGACCCTTTCCAGAACGAGGGACTTGGGTAGTCTGATTTTAAATGAAGAAAGAGCTTCTGGCCAGGCATGGTGGCTCACGTCTGTAATCACAAGCACTTTGGGAGGCCCAGATGGGTGGATCACGTGAGGTCAGGAGTTCAACACCAGCCTGTCCAACATGGCGAAACTCCATCTCTACAAAAATACACAAATTAGCCCAGCATAATGGGTGCCTGTAATCCCAGCTACTAGGGAGGCTAAGGCGGGAGGATCACTTGAATCCAGGAGGCAGAGGTTGCAGTGAGCCGAGATGGTGTCATTGCACTCCAGCCTGGGTGACAGAGTATGATTCCATCTCCAAAACAGCAGCAGCAACAACAACAAAGAAAATTAAAACAAAAAAAAGAGAAAAAGAGAAAGAGCTCCCAGGCAGCTCAGTGGAGAATGGCTTGCCTTTCTCCACTGAGAAAGGTGGGGGAAGATTAAAGGCAGGGGAAAGTGGACACCTGCTGTTTCAGCCTCCTAGCACCTGCTCTTCCCCAGGGGACACCCTCCCTTACTCCCAGGCCTGGTAGATTGACTAATGCTGACTGCACCCTAGCTTGAGTGGTGGCACATGACTCAGGTCTGGCCAATCAGCCTCTTCCATCCCCCTGACTGCATGATTGGGTCAGGAGTGTACATGTGACCAGAGGCCAACCAATGAGACTCAATTCTGAGATTTTTGTTAGACTTGTGGGAAAGACACTCTTTCGCCTAAGGTTGCTGAGCTGGGGATGTCTACCTGGAGCTTTAGGGGCGATGCTGTCACTACATGAAGACAGGGTGCTTGACAACAAAGCTGCATTAGTTTCCTTGGGTAGCCATAGCAAAGTGCCACAGACAGGGCAGCTTAAACAGCAGAAATTTATTTCCCCACAATTCTGGAGGCTAAGTCCAAGATCAAGGTGTCAGCATTGCTGATTTCTTCTGAGGCTTCTTTTTGGCTTGTAGATGGGTGGCTATCTTCTTCTAGTGTCTTTACATGGTCTTCCCTCTGTATGTGTCTGTGTCCTAATCTCCCCTTCTTTTTTTTTTTTTTTTTTTGAGACAGAGTCTTGCTCTGTCGCTCAAGCTGGAGTGCAGTGGCGCTATGCAGCTTACTGCAACCTCTGCCTCCTGGGTTCAATTGATTCTACTGCCTCAGCCTCCTGAGTAGCTGGGACTACAGGCGCCCACCACCATACCCTCTAATTTTTGTATTTTTAGTAGAGATGGGGTCACACCATATTGACCAGGCTGGTCTTGAACTCCTGACCTTGTGATCCACCCTCCTCGGCCTCCCAAAGTGCTGGGATTACAGGTGTGAGCCACCGTGCCTAGCCATACACTACTCATAACAGATTAACGTCCACCTATGACCTCGCTTAACCATAATACCTCTTTAAAGACCCTATCAGAAAATATAGTTAAATCGGAAGAACTGGGGATTAGGATTTCAACATACTGGAGGTGGGAGTTGCACAGTTCAGCACATAACAGAAGCCAACACAGAAAAAAAAAACCACAGAAATGGGGTAAGAGACTGAGGCTTGACTTTGAGCTCCTGGGTCCAGCTGTGCCTGAAGCCGACACTAATGCTACCCTGGACTCTCGAGTTTCATGATCCAATAAGTACCTAAGTCCCGCCTCTCCTTTTTTTTCCCTCATGAGCCTAATTGAGTTGGATTTCTGTCACTTACAGTTAAAATTCCTGAGTAATACACAGAGGAACTAGTTAGCAAACTATTAAAATAGTCTACCCCGATTTAATCACCACTTGCAAGGACATTGCTTGTATTTACACCCAGATCTGCCTAATTCTAATAGCTAGAGGTAGCAAATATGGTAAAAATTGAGCCAAGTTGGCACTAGCCTCTCCCATTAAGTAGGAATTTCTACCTTAGCTCTGAAGCCATGTAGGAGAGGGCCATTACTACCAATGTTTCTAATGTATGCAGTAGGCTGGGGTGCAGGCAGGGAAAAATTAAACATGTAGTTTGGGTTTAAAAAAAAAAACTTTCTAGGCTGGGCGCAGTGGCTCATGCCTGTAATCCCAGCACTTTGAGAGGCTGAGGTAGGCGAATAGCTTGAGTGCAGGAGTTTGAGACCAGCCTGGGCAATGTGGTAAAACCTCGTCTCTACAAAAAGTACAAAAATTAGCCAGGCAAGTTGGTGTGTTTCTGTAATCCCAGCTACTTGGGAGGCTGAGGTAGGAGGATCGCTTGAGCTCAGGAGGCAGAAGTTTCAGTGAGTCAAGATGGCGCCACTGTACTCCACCCTGGGTGACAAAGTGAGACCCTGTCTCAAAATAATAACAATAATAAAGCTTTCTAGAAGGGAAAAATCACCTTGGGAAGCCTTGAGTGGGTGCCATGGAGAGTGGGCTCCAGGTGTCACTGGCTCACAGGCACTGTTAGGGGGTGCCTAGAGGGGAGCTCAGGGGAGCAGCAGCTTTCTTCCAGCAGATTATGGACTTGGGCAGGAACTACTGAACAGGCACTCTGATAGGCTAGGCTTCCTGAGACCTCGTGCCTGGGCTGAGCACAACGGTGCTGTGGTTGACATGGTGCCCATCGGCCTCCAAAAATGAAGGAGTGGGGAGAACTAGAAATGGGGCTGGAGAAAGGTCAGCATCTCCCCCTTGGGTGGGCTCCCTGGCAGTCCTGGGAGCTGGCTGTGTCTGGAGGACGAGCCTCCTTTAGGTGTGCAGCTGCCTTTCTCAATGCCGCTAAGGTAGATTGGGATCTCTTTCAATGAGAGGGGTTTTGAGAGACCCTCAGCTCAATGCTCTGCTGGCTTCTTCCAGGGATGCTGAGAGGTGGCCCTTCTAGTGGTAAGATGAGGGCCCCATGGCCTTGTGGAGTCAGGCACACTGGCATTCACTGAAATCCCTGTGCCTGACCTAGCTGGTGATTTGGGGCAAGTGACTTCACCTTCATCAATGGCAAAGTGGAACCAACCTCACAGCCTTCTCCTGAAGCTTAAGTGAAATGAAGCAGTCATAAAGGGACGGGCTTTGGAGTCCCTGGGTTTGCATCCCAGTTTACTTACTAAGCTGGATGGCCTCGGACAAGTCACTCCCCCTCTCTGAGCCTCAGTGTCCTACTCCATAAAATGAGCCTATCAATAGTACTTATTTCCTAGGGCAAATGTGAGGATTGACTGAGATAAAACATGTAAACTTCATGACAGCAAAGGGTTTTGTTATTTATTTATTCCCTCTGCAGTAACTGGGACATAAAGGTGCTAAATAAATGGGATCAGTTTTATTGTTATTATGATTCACTGTTATCCGGCACTGGTTGAGGCTGCTCTGTGTGACATCCTAGAGGCACCGTCTGTGAGTTCCTGGTCAGGACGAGGAAGACAACACCACTATCTCTGGCACGTTTAGCAAACTCTGTCTCCAGGGATGGGGTAAGGCTCCTGTTGCGCAGGAAAGGGCAGGAGGGAGGGCTAGGGGTGTCCTGTGCACTGTTGAAGCACCTCACCTGTGTCATTTCACTGCACCCGTACCCACGCCCCATCACCCAGATTCATTTATTACCCCATTTGATGATGGGTAGTATTTATTACCTGAGGTTTATCAAGCTATAGCCATTGAGATCATACTGCCAGGGAGAAGTAGAGCCAGGGTTCAAACCTGAATTTGTACTGTTCCAAATCTCTCTCTCTTTTTTCCCCAGGCTGGAATGCAGTGGGCAGTTACAGGTCACTACAGCCTCCAACTCTTGAACCCAAGCAATCCTCCCACTTCAGCCTCCCAAGTATCTGGGACCATGAGCGTGTGGCACGACGTAGTTCCCTTCTTTTTACACAGTGTGGTATGCAGGAAGCAGTGAAGGAGGGACGGAGGGTCGAAGTCACCGGGTGGGGGCACTTCCTGGGCTGGCTGGGGCAGGGCATCTAGGAATGGGTCTCAAGGGCAGGCCCCACTGCCTTCTCTCATATTTGGCAGGTCCTGTGTCCCCTGCCTGCTCCATACCCCCAGAATTCTTTAGCAAGTGGCTTCATCGAGACACTCTCAGTTGGGCTGAAAGAGGACGGGAGGGACTCTTTACTGGGAAAAAATAGAGCGCAGAACCTCCTCCTACCCCTGCCAGCATCAGCCTTTGGAGGCAAATAAAAGGGAGTGGGCACTGGGATGGCAGAGCCAGAGTTGCACTAAAATCAACCTGACAGATGACCCATCTCCCATGAGCCCATGAACGGCAGATAGGAAGGTGTCCAGGCCAAGCAGGAATATTTCTGTAGCATGGCTCAGGTCAAGAACAAGCAAAGCTGCCTCCTGTATACCTGAGAAGTGGCCTCCTGGGTTCAAGCAATTCTCCTGCCTCAGCCTCCTGAATAGCTGGGATTACAGGCACCTGCCACCACACCCAGCTAATGTTTGTATTTTCAGTAGAGACAGGGTTTCACCATGTTGTCCAGCCTGATCTTGAGCTCCTGACCTCACTACAGACAGAAGCATGCTTTGGCCAAACTGGAGTCTGAGACTGGCCTGGGAACTGGGAAAGAGGATACATTTGGGAAAACTGCAGTGAAGAATGCATAATAGTGGAAGGAGTCTTGCGGATGATTATCAGGTGGCTCTCAGAATCAAGAGGAAAGCTGGAGGTGAGCTTCAGGCAGGAGGGGGTAAACTGAGGGAGGAGGAAGACCCTCTCCAGTAATGGTCCCTTTCACATGTCACTACTGGCACCATTACCATGGCACTACAGGCTCTGGGTCTTGCTATGCCCCCTGGACTCTTGACCGTCTAGAAGCCTCTGGGAGTCACTTCTTGCTCTGTGCCTTTAGGTCCCTCCTTCCAGAGTCAAATCCCTCATGGGCAGGGCTTCTGGATAAAATACAGGATGCCCAGTGACATTCAACTTTCAGATAACTGAAAAGTAATTTTTAGTAGAAAAAAGTTATTTATCTGGCTGGGCATAGTGGCTCATGCTTGTAATCCCAGCACTCTGGGAGCCTGAGGGGGTGGATCACTTGAGGTCAGGAGTTAGAGACCAGCTTGGCCAACATGGTGAAACCCTGTCTCTACTAAAAATACAAAGAAAATTAGCTGGGCATCGTGGCAGGTGCCTGTAATCCCAGCTACTGAGGAGGCTGAGGTAGGAGAATTGCTTGAACCCAGGAGGCAGAGGTTGCAGTGAGACAAGATTGTACCACTACACCCAGCCTGGGTGACAGAGTGAGACTCTGCCTCCAAAAAAAAAAAGAAGAAAAAAAGTTATTTATCTGAAATTCAAATTTAACTGAGTAGCCTATATTTCTATTTGCTAACTCTAGCCACCCAACTCAGAATGCTGGGCTCTGTCTGCTTTGGGGGTCGGTGGGAAGGAACTCTACCCCTTCCACTTCTGGGGTAAGACTATCAATCCTGTTGGATTGGATTGATCACACTTGTTTAGATGAAGAATAGATTATTAAAAAAAAAAAAAGCAAATACAACTGCAATTCCTTTAACTCACCCCCTCCCATTTTTTTTTGAGACAGGGTCTCACTCTGTCATGCAGGCTGGAGTACAGTGGCATGGTCAGGGTTCACTGCAGCCTTGAGGTCCTGGGTTCAAGTGATCCTCCTGCTTCAGCCTCCAGAGTGCCTGGGACTACAGGTGCATGCCACCACACCCAGCTAATTTTTGTAACTTTTTTTTTTTGTAGAGATGGGGTTTTGCCATGTTGGCCAGGCTGGTCTCAAACTCCTGGGCTCAGACTATCTGCCCTCCTCAGCCTCCCAAAGTGCTGGGATTATAGGTGTGGGCCACTGTGCCTGTCCTGTTCCCCCATTTAAACAAAAAGTCACCTCCCCGATTGATTTTCAAAGCTGCCTTCACTCAAAGAGGGCCTGGAGGATCGGAATGACCCATAGAGTCATTCATTGTCTGTGCAGGCTTTTCATAACACAAAAGATAGGTCTTCCCCATCCTTCCCATCCTCTCCTTGCTGGTCCTCTTATATGCAGAGAATCCAAGGATCTTCTTACTGATGAGTCATCACCACTCACGAGCAGGTGAAGAAGGAGTGGAGCTGAAATGGAAATAATCTATGGGCTGGACTGTCTAGACAGCGTTTGCTCCTCTGGATAGGGAGGAGAGCAGACAGAAGCACGCTTGGCCAAACTGAAACTCAAGCCTCACTGCCAGCCCTTCCTGAACCACCTCAGATGAGCCTGTCTCTGGGCCACAGCCAGAATTAGCCTGGGGCTGTTTCTCATTCCTAGTTCAAAGGATTTGTGCTCCTAGCAGAGGAAAAGCTTGAACATTTACAGTAAAAAATCTAGTAAAAAGGGTAAGAAACAGAGGCTGCTTCTTTCTATCTTTCTTATCTTTTTGTTTTGGGGAGGACAGTGAAAGAAAATTACTTTTTTAACTATAAAACTTTGTCTTAAGATCAATTTTGGAAAGAAAAGCATCTACTAATTGAAAACATCACTTTTTGGGCCCTTAAGTCAAGGGAAACAGGTGCAGGTTTGTGGTTTTAGAGAGAGTATTTCTTTTGGAAAAAAGCAGAAAAAGTACCCAGATAAGGTCCTTCCAAAGCCAAATAGACTTTTATTTTTCAGCCCTTTATTACATAGAAGGTGACTGAGATTAACTGAAAAGTTAAAAGAAAAATCAACCCTCACCCTTCTAGGTAACACTCCAGTCTCTTCTTTTACTTTCTGAGGCTGAAGAGAGAGCAAATGTTTACTGCAATTCTGATAAGATTCCCTTTCAATATGGTCTGTTCCTGGATGGAATCCCACCTTTCATCTATCTGCTTTTATTCTTAATCCTGTGGCTAAGCCTGGGCCTCCCTTTTCTTCTTGTACAAGCTCAACAGAGCTGGCATTTTTCCTTTACCATTTCAGCGATGTGTTTTTCAGTGTTTTATCTGGTTGTGAAGGGGCAGGAATGTCAAGGTCAAAAAAGTATCAGAAAAAGTCAGTAGAATTTCTGTACCTGCTGAGGGTTAGGTGCTTGGATGTTATATATCTCTGCATTCCCACAGTAAAACCATGTGAGGTTGGGAAAGTTTTCTTTTTTTAACCTCTCTGGGTAGTTGAGGAATTGGAGGCTCAGAGAAGAGAAGTAACACAGCTCAAGGTGACACCACTAGGAGCTGAACTTGAAAGCCAAGCCTGTCTGACCTCCAAGCCTTTGCTCCTGTAGTCATACTACCTTGCCTTCTGCCTTTGCAAACATGAGGTGGCAAATCAAGCTAAGAGCTATGAAAACACCCAGAAGCACTTTTCTTCCAAATAACTCATAACGTCTTATCTTTGGGAGCTATTCAATAGGTTTATTTCAGTAAAAGATACACCATTGCTGTGGTTTTAGGGAATGATTATGAATCTTATCTTATTGATTAAGAAAGATGGTTAATGGAGTCTGTTTCTTTAAGAAATTTGCATCACATATTAGTTAGCTGCTGCCATGTAACAAGTCACATCAACACTTAGTGACTTTAAGTAACAACATGTATTATCTTACAGTTTCTGTAGGGATGGAAACTGGACATGATTTAGCTGGGTCCTGTGCTTCAGGGTCTCTAGCAGGCAGCACATGAGGTGTCATCTGGGCTATAGTCATCAGATGGCTGGATTGGGGAAGATCTGCTTCCAAGTTTATTTAGATGGTTGTTGGCAGGATTCTGTTCCTGGTAGGCTGCCAGCTTTAGTTCCTCATTGCCTGATGGCTGGAGGGTTCTCTTAGTTCCTCTTTATGTGGGTCTCTGCAGCATGGCTGCTTGCTTCATCAAAGTGTACAAGAAGGGAGATAGCAATTGGAACATGTCAGCAAGGTGGATTTCACATTCCTTTTTTAAACTAACCGTGGAAATGATATTCCATCACTTTTGGTGTATTCTATGTGTCAGGAACAAGACACTAGGTCCAGCCCACCACTCAAAGTATGCGATTACACAGGACATAAATACTATAGGGTGGGGATTATGGGCAATTATGTCAGCAGCTACGTATCACACATGAGAGAAGTGGAAATGGTGGTTATAAGAACAGTCATAATAATAGTAATAAGGCTGGTGAAGACAGCCAGCATTTACTGGGTGTTCTTGATGTGTCCGGCACTGGGCTAAATGCCTTCTATGTGCTGTCTCATTTAATCTCATCACTCTCTTTAACTTCCCTGAGGTACTACGGCAAAGAAATTAGGACCTTACTCCATTGTTTCTACTCCAAAGTTCATCCCTTTACATGATGCAGATCATTCATATGAATCCAATGAGCTGCTGAGGCCCCAAGAAAGCCCTGATTGAGAGAGGAATCTGATAAATGAAGCTGAACTCACTGCTCATCAGAAAGTTGCAGATGAACATGACCAGAAGCCATTTCTTACCCATCAGATTGGAAAAGAAAATGTAAGTTGGTGAGAGTGTGGAGAATTCTCATACACTGCTGAGAGGCTATAAATTTGTACTGCCACCTTGGAGGGAAATTTGGCAGGATCTATTAAAATTTTAAAAGAACATAAACATTAAAAATGTGCATAGCCTATGACCCAGAAATTATACTTTTGAGTATCTACCTTAGAGAAATACTTGCACATGTGTACAAAGAACTGTATACAAGAATTTTCATTGCAGTACTGTTTCTAAGAGTAAGTAATAAATAGTAAAACTGAAACATAGTGTAAATGTTCATCAGTTTTAAAAATGGCTAAATAAATTGTGGAAATCATTCTACCAAAAAGACACATGCACTTATATGTACATCACAGCACTATTCACAATAGCAAAGACATGGAATCAACCTAGGTACCTATCAATGGTGGACTGGATAAAGAAAATGTAGTACATATGCACCATGGAATACTATGCAGCCATAAAAAGAACAAAATCATGTCCTTTGCAGCAACATGGGTGCAGCTAGAGTCCATTATTCTAAGTGAATTATCTCGGGAACAGAAAACCAAATACTTCATGTTCTTACTTGGAAGTGTGAGTTAAACAATGGGACTCATGAACATAAAGGTGGAGACAGGAGACACTAGGGAATACTGCAGCGGGAGGAGAGAAGAGAAGGATTGAAATACTAACTATTGGGTACTATGCTCAACACCTCGGTGATGGGATCAATTGTACCCTAAACCTCAGGATCATGCAATAAACCCAGGTAACAAACCTACACATGTACCCTTTGAATCTCACATGTACCCTTTGAATCTAACATAAAAGTTAAAAGCATTTTTTAAAAAAAATATATTGTGGAGCATCCGTACTATGGGAAACTATGCAGCTGGTAAAGAGAATCTGCGGTAAAGGTGGATCTGGTATTAGTTCATTTTCAAACTGCTGAAAAACACATACCTGAGACTGGGCAATTTACAAAAGAAAGAGGTTTATTGAACTTACAGCTCTACAGGCTGGGGAGGCCTCACAGTCATGGTGGAAGGCCATGAGGGGCAAGTCACATCTTATGTGGATGGTAGCAGGCAAAGAGAGAGCTTGTGCAAAGAAACTCCCATTGTTAAAACCATCAGATCTCATGAGACCCATTCACTGTCATAAGGACAGCATGGGAAAGATCTGCCCTTAAGATTCAGTCATCTCCCACCAGGTCCCTCTCACAACACGTGGGATCTATAGGAGATACAAGATGAGATTTGGGTGGGAACACAGAGCCAAGCCATATAAATTTACAAGTGTGGTATGGAAATAGCTCCAAAACATTTTACTGAGTAAGAAGAGCAAGTTGCAGAGTTATACCCTCAGCATGATACCTTTTAGGTAACTCCTAGCAATATTACATTTCTCTCTCTCTCTCTCTCTCTCTCTCTCTCTCTCTCTCTCTCTCTCTCTCTCTCTCTCTCTCTCTGTGTGTGTGTGTGTGTGTGTGTGTGTGTGTATGTATTCAAATGCATGAGAAAAGGTCTAGAAAGGTGTACAGTAAACTGATTGTATTGGCCAGAATGAGGTAATATGGCCACCCTTGGGAGCAAAAGTGTCTAGGAAGGTGAATATTTTTTAGCTTTGCTAATCAAGAAAAGTAAGGAAGAAGGTTGTGAATGGATTTTAGGTGGCCAGTTAAAAATGTCTGCCATAGTTCACCCTTTTAGTTACCCAACATCCACTTGTCTTTATTTCTATATATTTACACTATGTACAGTCCAAAGTCCAAAGGCAGTTATTGCATCCATGTTGAAATTCAGTATCTCTGAGTAATAATGTGCAGTCCACTCATCAGGACCAGATGTGAGAGGATACTGCCTGCTTGTTACCTTAGCTACATCTGAAAGATATTGGGGTTGATGTCTTTTCTGGGGACTGCATCACTTTAGCAGCCCATTTCTTCTTGGTAGAAGTTTGACCCCCAAGGATTATTTTTAGAGTTGAACAGTCAGAAGCTATCATAGATTGTTTGGAAATATGCATTCCTCAAAAATGTAATAGAGATCCAGTCTTTGGTTTCAGAGACTTCCATATGTAAGTAACCACAAAATATTTTATCTAGACAGAGTATGTAAGCCTAAATAGTTTCATATTTTAAAACTCATTGTCTCTCTCTGTGCCCTACCCAACCCTTCAGCCCTTGGTTTACTGGCTGATTCTTTAGGGCAATTTAAAATAGCAACCTTGGGTGGATAAACATCTCGTTTAATTTGATCTTTGTGTGTTGGTGCTCCCTCTTTATTTGGCAGGAATCTCTTAAGGCTGTACTAGACAACAGCTTTTGGCACTGATATAATTTCCTGCTAACACTGTGGTTTTATGGCTGTTGTTGGTGCTGTTATTTGAGCTTTTTCAACCCACAAGACTTCAAATTATGGGATTCTCAGTCAATTTAGATTAGAGGTTGTAGTCAGATCATGCTTCCTTTTGCAAAGCTGTATCTTTTCCACTGGCTTGAAGACTGGCTAGCTCTTGTTGGCAATCATCTCTCTCACAGGACCTGTTAAAATGGTAAGAAGTGGCCAGCATGGATTAATACTCTGGAATTTTCAATACTTTCTTTGTACTTTGTATTCTCAATAGATGTAAAGTCTTAAGGCAGAGCAGGCAACATTTTGACGAAATGTTTGCAAGTGCATAAGAAGGGTCATCAGCTTCTGTCAGTAATAATTGGATCCTTCTTCTGCCATATTTTAACTTCTATTACTTTTATTACCCCACTCCTGGTACCAATTAAATTTATTTTTTTTAAATCAGAGAAGACTTTTAGTTGTGCATGATAGAAATTGACTCTGATTTAATAAACAGAAAAGAGCTTAATGAAAGAATAGTGATAATGTGGAATTGTTGCAAAGGCAGAAGAATTAGAAATAATGTTCCTAAAAATGCTAGAGAACTGATCTAATGAGAAAACTATTGCCATTACTACTACCAAGCACTAAATTCTATATCTCACAATGCTGCCAGGAACTCAACTTCAGTGCAATGAATACTGCTGCCAGCACTGATGTTGTTTCTGTTCTAGTAATTTGACTTTTAAACTACTCCCAACATCCTCACAACCAGATGTTTCTGGTGATACCTTCTTCAGCAACATGAATTTTGAGCACAGCCCTTTCCCATGTTCTTACTTTATACTGAAAGTCTACATGAATACATCTTATTGGTGGCACCTAAAATGCAGACCTGTGGTTAGGTGCAAAGGAGGCTAGAGAAACAAGTTTTCTGAATTCTACCTTAGAGAGAAAGGAATTCATAAGGCTGAAGATTCTATAAACATATTAAGAATGTGCAGAGAACATGACAAATCTACACATCAGCTTTATTCACAGGCTGTATGTGGTGTCCACAAAAGCTTAAGGCTCTTCTGTTATGGTGACAAGAACTCACATCAAGTTCAATCCTGATGGAAAAAAGTAAGAGTTTCCCCCTTGCCTCCACAAAACTTTTGAGATTCACTTTAATTGGTCAGGTTCATTTTAATTGGACAGGTGAGGTCAAGCACTCAACCCTGAAATAGTTCCAATGGCCCAAACCATGGCATGCCTTATGGGCCAGGATTGGGTTATGTGTTCTACCCTTGAAACAGAGATTTTCATCTCTGTGGCCTGCGAAAGGAGGGGAGAACCACAAGCAAGTATTGGGAAATGGAGAATGGATCCTGATAAAGAAACAAGCAAAAAACTGTTAGTGTCTTTCATTCTATGTAGAAAGCAGGTCATTTTGCTCATGTCTTTCTAAAACTTCCTCTAAACAATTTTTTCAGCCCAAGAAATATCATCGTTGATTGGATTTATTTATTTATTTATATCAGTGTAAAGTTATGGGTTCCTATTTTACTCAACAGGTTACAATCAGTTGCTATCCTCATTTATTTAATAAAATTGTCCCAGATTTGGGCAATGAGAGCCCCTTCACCCTGAATTCTGTATCTTTTTAGATGAGTCCATATCTTTCTCTATGCACTTCTTTATTTTTTGGTAAAACATCAATCTTAGGCTTCACTCTTACTTTTTCTGGGCCAGCCCTGGGATCAGTCCTCATGGAGTATGGGGTTTTATTTTACTCTACCTACAAGCAAATAAGAAACTGTTAGTAGTTCATGAATGTTGGTAGAATACATGAGACTCTTGAGTCCAAGACAAAGGACTTTATTACTCATGACACAGGAAGTAACATGAGCATTAGCATAATTCATTGGTTTTTCTGCACCCCAGTCCAAGGGAGCAATGTGATATGACCCAGATGGATAGCATGTATGGAGTGTGTTTGTATGGCAACCAAAGAACACTGAGCTTGAGGAATCCACCACTTTTTTTTAAAAGTCTAACTCTGTTACCCAGGCTGGAGTGCAGTGGCACAATCACAGTTCACTGCAGCCTTGACCTCCCGGGCTCAGGTGATCCTCCCACCTCAGCCTCTTAAGCAGCTGGGATCATAGAGGTGCACCACCACACCCAGCTAATTTTTATTTTTTGTAGACACAGGGTTTCACCATATTGCCCAGTCTGGTCTTGAACTTCTAGGCTCAAGCAATCCACCTGCCTCGGCCTCCCAAAGTGCTGGGATTATAGGAATGAGACACCATGTCTAGCCTGAACCACCACTTTTATAGCAAAAAATAAGCAAGCCTAATCTTTTTTCTGGAAGGAGACATTACTTATTCTGCCAAGCTGCTCACTGCAAACATAATCATGAGATGAGCCTGGGAAGGAGTAATCATATCTTCCATTTTTGGCACACCAAGCAAGAATGTGCAGGTGTTCTTGGGCCTATGGCAGTTTGCCTCTTCAGGAGCCATTTCTCCATTGACTGTTGGTTCATTTTAGTGGAGGACGATATTTAGAAACCAAGATCTACTTGCTAAGGTGCTCATTGGTATTGAGCTATTGCTTCTAGATGCACTTGGTGGACAGAGCTAGGGAATACACACACACACACACACACACACATTCTAATCTCTATCAATGCATCTAATCATCTCTCTTTTTCTCTATCTTCATAAATTCACACTGATTTCTTCAATCCAATACAACAAGTTTATCCTAGTTTTCTGCCTTTTCATATTTGTAACACTTCTTGGACAAAAAGAAACTCATAACATATTTTCTAACTTGCTTAATGCTCCTGTAAGTAACCAATCTCTTATTACTGCCACTGCTACCCACCCTACAGTCATATGAATGAGCCCCTGACCCACTTGTGCTCTGACCTGATGTACTGGGATGCATCTCTCTTCCTCCTACGTGGTTGCCCTCCTCCTGGTCAGTGTGGCTCCAACACCCTGTGCTGGCCCGCTACTCATGAAGACATTCTTCTGACCCACTCAGACTCTGAGTAACTGCCACTACTCATGAAGATACTCTCCTCACCCACTCAGGCTCTGAATCCCCACGCCAGGCTGTCACCAACACTGCCTCCCTGCATGAGTCCCCTTCTTACCCTACCTGGTGAGACACCCTGGGCCAGGCTATCCTAGCCATAGCCACCACTCTGTGTAGACATGCTCCTCACCTCTCTCAGTTTCTAAAACTCCCATCCTCATCTTCTGTAGACTCCTACCTTGCTCAGCCATACCTGGTGGCTTTTAGACTCACTTAATCAGGAAGGGAAAAAAAGAGAAAGAACGCAATGATCAATGTTAACAGCTGCAAAACACTGCATGATGTGGATGTAACCACCTAGTTATGCCACCTCCATGTTTGCTTAACCACTTCCCAGCTGTATTAGGTAGAGTTATTTATATTTTCTCCTTTTCTAGATACCATTCCAGGAATCAAACTATCAACATAAATCTCAGTGTGTCTCTCTGTACACCTCCCTGATGATTTCATTAGGACAGATTCCTAGAAGGGGAATACTTTCTGGGTCAGAGGGTCTGGATGTTTTGAAAGCTCCTGGTCTTTGCAGCACAGATTCAGTGTTCATCTTACAATTCATGCAACCTTAAATAAATAAACAAGCGTGATTCTGTCCCAGAGGCTGCTTGGGGTTTTCTACAGATGATACTTGTTTTTCCGCTGAATGACATCACCTC